CAGAACCTAGCTGCTATTCGACCCTAAAGGGTTTCTGGACCAGGCTCAAGGCTCAGAGGAGAGGAAATATCATAAAAACTTGCTGATCTCTCAGACTCATACTGGTAACTGGTGAAAAGATTGATTGATTATGTAAGCTACAAAAGTGCCAACATAAAGTAAGGTAAAAACAGTCTCTACAAGCCCAGCCAGAAATGAATCCCTACATCTCATGGGAACTTTAAATCATGACTGTCCCCAGTCATCTACCTATGCAAACCAAAGCTAAGCTAAACTTAAGAGAACTAACCTGGGGGTCCTCAAACATCTTTTGTTTCCTTGACGCGTATGCCAGGTAAACTGCGCCAGTGAGTGAGGGTCAGGCAATGCAATAAAATGATAACCTCCAGACTTTGCTTTTAGTACTGGAGGAGCAGCGATGCTAAAGTGAAAAAAACGCGATGATGGTTGCATGGATGACGATGGGGAGTAGACAGATAGAAAGAGGCGAACGAGGGCTTCGAAATGAGTATAGGGTTGACTAGGATTGGTTGAGAACTGAGTGAGAAACGAGGGAAATGGTGAAAAAGGGCGGAAAATGCGAGAAATGCGGATTGCGGAGGAACGTGCGGACGTATCGGGAAGCGGAGCGGACGGATGGAAAGCGCGGAAAAATGCGGTCAGAACGCGCCTAAGGCGATGGGCGCGCGATCACAGGGCGATGAGATATAAAGAAAGCGCAAAAATGGGGCAAAAAAAATAGGGGGGAACGCGCAAATGCGAATAGCGAGCGAACGGCTGAGCGCGCGAAGGCGCGGATATGCGCGAATGAAAGCCATGAACGAGGGCTTCAAGACAGATATAGGGTCGATGGGGTTCAGATGCAAAATGGGCTGGTGAAAGTGCGAAAAAGTGCGGAGGTGCAAGAGGGAGGAGGAGGAAGGGGTTTGGTGCAGGGCAACAAGGACTGGTTCTATCAAGAAGCTGATTGGGGCAATGGACAGAGCCACTGGGGGATGGTAAATGGCCAAAAGAGCTAAATGAGACAGGCCTTTGTGCACCCAGAGAACCCTTATCTCCCCTCAACTTCTCAAAAACACCAAAAACTCGATATCTCCACAACTACTGCTCCAATTTCGATGAGCCAGGACTCAAAATGACCGGACGGATGAGGGGAATACGACCCTGATTTTGCGAGAGATCCACTCGAAAAACGCGTGAGAAAAATGCTTATCAATGCGCTGGGGAGGAGGAGAAGATGCTGAAAACTTGGGAATATGGGAGAAGCTGGTAATGAATGACTGTGGTGGGATAATAGGCGAATTTGGGGGATGATTGGAGAGCTGGAAGAGCCTAGAAACACAAGAAACCCTCGCGGTGGGCTCCAGTTGAAGGTACAACAATTCAGATGGTGAGTCTGAACAATATGTTGGGTCTTGCAGAACCTAGCTGCTATTCGACCCTAAAGGGTTTCTGGACCAGGCTCAAGGCTCAGAGGAGAGGAAATATCATAGAAAACTACTGAGCACTCAGACTCATACTGGTAACTGGTGAAAAGATTGCTTGATTATGTAAGCTACAAAAGTGCCAACATAAGGTAAGATAAAAACAGTCTCTACAAGCCCAACCAGAAATGAATCCCTACAGTGTGTCACGTGACTTCTAAGACGGATGTCTTCAAAGTCACTGACGTTCTCAAAGTAAGGACAGTCTTGTCCGAACGATGAGTAGTCGATCGAGGTAGACTTAGGCGCGATGAGCACCTAAGAAAAGATACTAGAGACTGAAGCTGAGGGGGCTTCAGAGGGAAGTGTGTTCAAGGGAAGATTGAGTAGATTCAAGTTAGGGAATCTAGTACAGAGTGACCGACTACTTATACTAAGTGGAAAGGGTTAAGGGCAAGGCTACCGTACTGTAGGTAAGGGCAAAGGGGAAATGGAAAGGGTATAGGTACGCTGGTAGCAGAGCCTGATTAGTGATGTGAGGTCGAATGCGGAATGAGACTGAGAAACGTTGGAATGAGCCAACAGTAAATGATACAATGTGCAGCACGCATGAGTCAGAGGAAAGATAAGACAAGATAAGGAAAGCCACATTGGTGGCACGAGTCAGAATGAGTCATAGCACGAAGGCACGTGCGCACGTTGGTGCGATAGGAGGGGGATGAGGGACGGGAACAGTCCCGAGGATCCGGTCAACGGATAGTCGGTAGAGAAGTACAAGCCGGAGGCATATGAGGGCGAGGACGAAGGGGAAAAATGATAGGGGGGCCATGTAGCCGATGTTACTTGTAACAGTGAGTACTGAATCCATTTCTGCAGCACGAAGGACACTGAAACATCTTATCAAGATGATGAAGTTGCAGAAGCAAACAACTGCCGGCATTCACCGATTGAACTCTGAATTGTAGTGAGTAAGTTGATGACTAACTTTGATATAGTACATATACTCTAGTACCATGCCCGGACTTCAAGATTTCAATGCACACTGGCACACTGTAGAGACTCATGCCTCTCATGGCGTGATATGGCAGTTTCCACCAAGGAGTGCATAGCACGAACTTGTAGCATCACTCTGTGCACTACCCACAGCTATCCCTATACAAGGCGCAGCTTTCCCACGCAATGCGCGCCATGCGCGCACCATTCACACTGTAGAGAATCATGCCTCTCATGGCGTGATATGGCAGTTCCCACCAAGGAGTACATAGCATGAACTTGTAGTGTCACTCCGTGCGCTACCCGCAGCTATCCCTATACGAGGCACAACTTTCCCGCTGTAGAAACAACAATACAGAGAGGAACAAATAATGCTCCTAGCTGTATCTATAATAGGTGAAGGTCGTGCGTTGCCTAGCCTGCGTTACTTGAGGAGACAAGTGCGTTTGACCCTAAAGGGGAAGCGAGTGCAGCCAAGATCTAGAGGTACGCGCTTCAGTGAAGTGCGAGAAAGCGCAGATGCGCGCAAGGCGTGGGAACACGCGCGCGTGTTAGCGCGAAGCGCGGGAAAGTGCGCGCGCGTATGCGGAAAATGATAAAGACTAGACTCAAGTGATAATATAATGCAAGAAAAGAGAAGGGAGATGCGAAGTATAGACAAATAGACTTCTACTACATATATTCTGCTAAGTAGTAAGTAAGTGATAACTAGTAATTGGGAGGTAAAAGTCTGTTTCTAATAGTATGTACTGCTGGCGCTTATATAGCGCGCCTAAGTGTGGTCATGCAGAGCTGAAGCACTACCGAGTAGGTATGTAAAGATATATATGAGTGAGAATCCATGATAAAAATAAAGGTGGAACTATGCTAATAAGGGAAATGGAAATATACGTACTAGGGAGCTTGGTGGACAGTGGATGGATGCTTCTGGATGGCTGGCGCCATAGGGCGCGCAAGCGCAGGAACGCGTGCATATACATCGCGAAGCGCGGGAACGGTGCGCGTATACATCGCGAAGCGCGGGAAAGCTGCGCGTCATATAGAGATAGCTGTGGGTAGTGCACAGAGTGACGCTACAAGTTCATGCTATGTACTTCCTAGTGTAAAGCGCCATATCAGACCATGAGACGCACGAGTCTCTACACCGCGCAATGCGCGCCATGCGCGCACCATTCCCGTGCTTCGCGATGCATACGCGCGCACATTCCCGCGCTTGAGCGCCCTATAGCGCCAGCCATCCAGATGCATCCATCCACTGTCCACCATGTTCTCTAGTGCATATATTTCTATTTCTCTCATCTGCATATTGTTCCATCTTTATTTTTATCATGGACTCTCACCCATATATATCTTACATACCTACTCGGTAGCGCTTCGGCTCCACATGACCGCGCTTAGGCGCGCTATATAAGCGCCAGCAGTACATAGTACAACTTACTTTCGAACTTACCTTACCTTACTTTACTTTCCACCCACTATCTACCTAGAAGAACATAGTAGAAATCCATTTTGTCTGCACTTTGCACCTCTCTTCACTTATCTTGTATTATATTATCACTTAAGCTTAGTCTCTCTATCATTTCCACACGCGCGCGTGCGCTTTCCCACACTTCGCGCTAATACGCGCGCGCGTTCTCGCGCCTTCATGCCTTGCATGCACCTGCACTTTCTCGTGCCTCGCTTCAGCGCGTACCTCTAGATCTTCGCTGCACTCGCTTCCCTTTAGGGTCGAACGCGCTTGTCTCCTCAAGTAACGCAGACTAGGCAACGCACGACCTACAACATTTTTTAGATACAGTCAGGAGCCTCATTGTTCCTCTTTGTATTGTTGTTTCTACAGCGCGCTTCACGATGTATATGCGCGCGCGCGTTCCCACGCTTGAGCACCCTATAGCGCCAGCCATCCAGATGCATCCATCCACTGTCCTCCAAGTTCTCTAGTGCGTATATTTCTGTTTCTCTCATTTGTATATTGTTCCACTTTATTTTTATCATGAACCCTTACTTATATATATCTCTACATACCTACCCGGTAGTGTTTCGGCTCTGCATTACAGCGCTTAGGCACGCTATATAAGCGCCAGCAGTACATACTACGACTTACTTTCCATTTTTTACAACTTACTTTTCCTACCAGTCACTTACTAGTTAGCAGAACATAGTAGAGATCTATTTGTTTACACTTCGGATCACTCTTCTCTTACCTTGTATCATATCATCACTTAAGTTTAGTCTCTCTTATTTCCGCATACGCGCGCGCGCTTTCCCGCGCGTTCCCGCGCCTTGCGCGCACCTGCGCTTTCTCACGCTTCACTTTGGCGCACACCTCTAGATCCTTGCTGCACTCACTTCCCCTTTAGGGTCAAACGCGCTTGTCATCTCAAGCATAGCAGACTAGGCAAATGCATGACCTTCAACATTTATAGATACAGTCTGGAGCATCATTTGTTCCTCTCTGTATTGTTGTTTCTACAACGCCTCCTGTTTTCTACCCCCCAATCGCTCCCGGATAGAGTCGAAACATAGTATACAGGATTCTCGCGCTGAGCTGCACAATGTTATTGAAGCTTTGAATACATTGGTATGTTGGAGATTTTCTTTTTGCTGGCACATTATGCTGATGCAGAGGTGTTGCAGACTGTCGATGATCCTGAAGACCTCGAAGCACATCTCATGGTAGATCTGATGAGGGCGAAGTGTGAAGTTTTTAGGGCAGAGAAGCTTCTTGCAGATTGCATGGTGCAAGAACACGAGGTCACGGCTAGTTTGTTCAGAATCAGAGCCACCACCTTGGGGAAGAAACTGGATGCTACTGATGACGAGCTTGGTCGCATGCAGATCACCTGTAAGAATAACAATCTCATAGTACCAACCTGCCACCCCGATGGTATGTTCCACATGAATTTCCTTGACTAAAACTGACGTCTTTCTACTACTAGAGCCAAATATTTATCGCATGCACCGCATCACTATGGAGGTGGGCAATCTGCGCCAGGACAAATTTCATTCCCATGATGGGGTCACAGCCACCAGTGTGCTTTGAGCATGATACACGATGAAGAACATGGCATTGGGACCGCCACAATGCTCGTAGAACATAATCTCAGAGGCAAACCTTCTTATTTCGACATATAGAACATCAAAAATAGAGCGGATTTCATGTTCTCGTTCATTTCCCAGAGATACACATGTGTCAGGTACGATAAATATTGGTAAATGAAGAAATTTTCAAAAATGGTTGTATTATTCATGATCTAGAGATTACAGAGTAAATTCCGTGTGTCAGCTTGGTCGTGGCATCAGGATTATGGTCCCTGTCACATGAACTAGAGTGAGGGCCCCTAACATATCAATTTCTCAACACAGACACATTACCACCAAAAGAGGCAGTTTCACAGCAGCGCGCTCATCAGCGACAGTGTTCCCATTTCTAACATCCTCGGTTCTACTCACAAGAAAGCTGAAAAGGCAGATTACTGCTCTAACATTCAGCTCATCATGGATCAAGCTGCCCTCAATTCTTTGCTAGATCCTGCACTGAAAGATCAGCTTGAACTCCACAGGCACCTCAAAGACGAGATAAAAATCCATAAGATTTCTCACTCTAAGTCGAAGAAGCAGTGTTATTGTGTACTTAAGTTTCTCATTCAGCGATGTGAAAAAAAACGCGCTTGAGGTGACATTGTAGACGACGTAGATTTTCTAACCATCGCTACAGCCACAGGCTACAAAGAGTCAGCCTAATATATGGAATATTGGTCACTCGTTTCAGCGCACATACATGATATACATTAGATTTATGTATTTCTGACGTAGTAATGCACTTACTGGTTAGTTGATGTATTCTACACCACAATACATACTATTTTGTTGTTTCTCTGGCAGTGTATCACGGTCTGGAGCTAATCAGGGGTTTTTCAATTATATAAGTGTCACGCAGTGTTTGCGGGCATTGCCCACCTCCAGTCACTATCCAACTCGACTAACACTAATGGGCACGTTGTATCGTGACTTAGATTTTTATATACCCATCTGAATGTGTAGTCTGCATTACTACTATGTACGAGTAATATACTTCTTTTTGTCTCGCATTGGAACAGGTGACTTTCGCTTCAAGCATATCCAGAGCACATCCCATGCATTTCACAATGTTCACCTTGTTCTCAAACCATGTGCCTGTCCATTACATCAGTTCCGAACTAAGAATCTAGAGCTGCTGACAGCCTTACGCGATATCATTTGTATTCTAATGTTAACTTGTTGCCTACCAAGAACGCGAATTTACACTACAAATTGCTGTATGCACTGGTGATTATGTGAGTATCTGTGGCCATCTGGTGCCGTTGTCTGCAAGAGGACAGTGTGTGCTGTGTGAGCTGTTGCAGCTGTGTAAGTCTGTCAATGCTTGGCCGCTTAAGCCAAAGTCTGTGAGAAAATTGTGGTTTACTGATGCAATGGTTGGATGCAGCTCTCGGCATTCGTTTCATTCTACAGGAATCACAATACTTATGCCACCCTTCCTCAAGAGCCTTACCGCTGGGCAAGCGTAGCAAACGCATCCCGCATTGCCATTGCTGCTAGATACTCCTTACTACCATACTGGGTAAGCGTGTTCTCTTTCAAGTGTTCATGAGGCTGACAGTAGATATACAAAAGTACACGCTTTTTGCCAATTCCCCTATGGCCGATCTTCTGCCTGTCAGGGCATTGTCTTGGGAGTTCCCTAACGAACCTGAGCTTTTCACAGTAGACAGGTAATGATGTTTTTGTGACTTCAGTACTAACCTCAGGAGCTACCACTGTAGACAGTAACAGTCCAAATCTCATCAATGACGTCCTGACTAACATACTCTCTTACAGGTGTCTAGCATTTGGTACTGCATATGTGGACGATGGGACCACTTTTCTGCCTGGACCTAGTCAAAGACTCACATTTCAGGCCGCACCCACAAGATTGAGGGTAATGGAGAATATACAGTTCTGCAGAAGTTAGAGATGATCACTGTGCCTGGCGTGCAGAAATATACCTTGGTCTCATTGCAAGGATTGCCAGTCAAAGGGTGGGCAGGTCACTGAAGAGCTGGTGGCATCGAACACTTCTGTCAACCTTAATGGGCAGACGATTTTGGTGTGGAAGTGGTTTTTCTAGCATGTATTTCTGGGCCATTGGACAGATCGCGCAGTGCGTGATCGAAGTCATGGAGGCATCAAGCCGGCTGGACGACTTCGCTCACTCATGTTGTAAGGATCGTATATCCTCTGCGCCCCAACCATAGCTCCAATAGGAAATCTGAGAACTGTCCATCGCAAATGCCAAACAAAGCCACACGACTTACTGATGCGAAGAGTGTCACTCTTCATATCCAAGTCACGCGGACACATCCCTTTTTATTTTCATTATGAGCCTGTTCAGCAACCGATGTTTGAACGAAAAATTTGGGAAATCAAACATTACCAGTTGGCACACACTACTGAAATTCAAGCTCAGTCTGAATAGTGAGTGAGCAGCTGATAATGTTGATAATGTTGATAACATTTACGACGATAATCTGAATAGCTATGGATGTAGATGAGCCTGCTCATAACTGCTTTAACATACAACCACTCACAGTCCCACTCGTTCGACCAATAGTGCAACAAAATCGTCCCCCCGGCCTCACCGTGCTGTGCTTCGGCATCGTATCATTTGCTATGTTGCGCTCATCCTCAGTCTCCTGCTGGCCGCAGTGCATGTCTTCATGCAGGACACTGATGAACCTGAGCCCTATCACACCTCAGCCCTCACAGGGCAAGAGTGGGTGATAGAACTCATCCTCGGCCATCCCGATCGCATTCATTGTGAGCTCGGGGTCAATGTTGAGGTCTTCAAGAAATTGATAGAGGACCTTCGTGCCCTTGGTCACCGTGATTCACATTACGTCTCACTTGAAGAACAGCTATCGATATTTCTCTATACGTGTGTGACAGGATTAACTGTCAGACACGTCGCAGAACAATTCCAGTGTTCAAACACTACCATCTCTAAGTTCATATTTTGATCTAGATCTCACACTCACACTGGTACTGACACTCTCATAGGTATTTTCACAAGATGCTAGACATCTTTGCATCCCACCCTTTCTACACCGAATATGTCCACCTCCCCGCTCCTGATGCACCAGTCTCGAGTGCCATTCACAACAACCCAAAACGTTGGCCGTACTTTTGCGATGCTATCAGTGCAATTGACAGGAGTCATATTCACGTGTTTCCTCCCTCAGCCAGTTACCACCTATACTACAACCGCAAAGGTTTCATATCGCAGAACTGCCTCTTCGCTTGCAACTTCGATCTTCAGTTCACCTTTGCACTAACCGGATGGGAGGGGTCAGCAACAGATGCTCGGCTTTGGGATGTAGCGTGCCATGATGGCTTGGACGTTCCGCCTGGAAAGTACCTTCTTGCAGACCTTGGTTTCCCCTCGTCCCGACAACTTTTAGTTCCGTACCGTGGTGTACGGTACCATCTAGCAGAGTGGGGTCGTGCTAGTGTCAGGTAAGTACTTTTCTCTGCAGTGTATCTCAACTAACAATACTCATTTTAGACTGGTTAACAAGGAAGAACTGTTCAACCTTCGTCACGCATCTGCTCGCAACGTTATTGAACATATTTTCGGCATCATGAAGCAGCGCTTTTGCATTCTGTTAGTATCGCCAGAGTACAAGATAGCCATCCAGGCTCACATTCCCGCGGCACTGTGCGCTCTGCACAATTATATACATATTCACAACCCGGACGAAGAGCCGCTCCCTCACAGGGCTGTATTTAACAACAACCCTACCCATCAGGGCCAACCTGCTCAAGGTGGTCCTGATGTTACTGATCCAATGGTTGAGGATGATGTCATTGATGATGTAAGTGCGAATGTCTTTCGTGATCACATGGCCACAGAGATGTGGGAGGACTACCAGAATATCTTACATGAGCGCAATTTAGTAGACATCGCTCACTCATTAGACATCAACGAGGATCCAGAGGACATCGAGGACATCAACCAATATTATGGGAGCGAGGACAACAATGAAAGTGATGCTTAGAAATATGTTACATTGTAGTGTACATAGAGCTACAAATGATAATGTGCGGTTCATCTAATGTGGTGCAAACAAATGAAAGGATACAGCAACGCATACGGCAATGAGTGAGACAAAAAGTAAAACATGATGACAATGACAATGTTTAAAACACACCAAATTCCCCCCTGGCAGCCTGGTCAAGAACAGATCGCAAGTAGGGGACCCATCTTTCAGGCTTGGCAGCCAAGTAGATGGCACATACTGCTGGGCTCCTTGCGAACACATTCATGAGCGTGACGGACTCATCTCCTGTAATCAGCTCTTCCTCCTGCATGGTGAGCACAGCCTGTAGCCTTTCATCCAACACCCGAGTTTCATTTTGGTCAGTGTTGGATGCCAATGTGCGAAGGCTGTCCATCAGGCTGTTGATGGAACCTTGCAGGTTCATGAAGACGGCAGTGCTGGCAGCATCTTTGGCAGCCTTAGAGCCTTTGTGACTGCAGCCGGCTTGACTTTTACCTTGTGTCGACAACTTTGGCTTTTTGTTGACATTGGAGGCGTGGGATGAATCTACCAGTGACGTAGTTTGGGCGGTGCTGGGGGACAAAATCATGTTGGAATGCAAGTGTTTGCCCGTACTGGAGGGCGCAATAGAAGAGGAGGGAGGGGGAATGTTCATGGAACTTCCAGCGACTCCAGGAGTGATGGATGGGAGGGCTGACTTGATCTGGTCCCATCCAGCTTGTGGCGCAGTAGTGAGTCTAGATCCGCTGGCCTCAGCGTTGGGAGCCTCTGGTGCTTGCATGGATAAGGAGGATCCACCGGCTTCAGCATTGATAGGAAGAGCCACTGATGCTCCCACAGCCAAGGAAGCTGGATTGTAGGCGGATGCCCCCTGAGCGCCACTCCCATTTGGGAGAATCTCCGACATCTTTTGCCAGTGTCTCCATCCATTGTTTTTGAAAGGTTTCATCACCTGTGAATAGGGAGTGAGTAGTAGACAAGTAATAAATACAAACATACCTTGTTGGAATTATTAGCGGTAATAAATTGGTTCCACTGGAGTTCCGCTGCTTCCCCCTGAATATTGGTGCCGTTAACATTGTCCCAATGACATCCAGATCAGTTGTTGCGGTATCTCTCGATGGCATTGTAGATTTGTTTCAACTGTAAGGGTTATTAATGATAAGTTAGTGATGCGGCTAGGGAGTAGGATACAAAGACATACTGCTTGCCATTTCCTCTTACACTGTACCATGTCCTTGTCTGGGCCTTGCTTCTGAAGTCCCACAAGTTTCTTTGCTGCCTCATGGAAGGTCTCATCTTTGAAAGTCGTCCCAGCGATCTTTGACACCTGCAATTGGAGATAGACCAGGAATGCATCGACCTCCTCCTCACACCTCTGAGCTTTAGGTTTACTTTCACCCTTCTGAGTCATCATGTAGAGTTGGAACTGAGTGCAGAGGATGATGGCAGCTACAGTTGAGATGATCTGCCTTCGCTGATAAGAACTGATTCATCATTGGCTTGTGCTGGCAGGCATGATTAGAGTAGAGTTCATTGAAACTCCGTCACAAACGGCTTCCGCGCCGTTCCAACGCAATCCGTACATAAACATAAATTTTGTTCAAACAACGGTTGCTGAACAGGCTCTATATGTACCTTGTGCTCACATTTCCGTCCCTTCATCTCGTATTTTCACCTCGCCATCAAGTATTTTCACTTCGTTATCGACTATTTTCACCTTGCTATCGAGCATTTTCACGCTGCATCTGGCTTAATCAAAGTATTCCAAACGTACTTATACGACAAATGTATGCTAATGTAGACCAGCGAATTCTATCCTAAGATCCCCGCTCCAAGTACTTTAGAAAGCTGTCCTGCTTCGTGTCCGTCCCAAGAGTTTTACCTTTCGTGTCTCTCATCATCGCATCTAACTACCTTTGCTCACATTCCCCTTCGAACTCACTAGCCGCCTTACAATGTCACGTTTCCTAGTCAATATCATAGTGAGTGTACCAGATCTTCCCATTGCTCAAGCAGCAGTGGGATTGGTTCAACAGCAATCGTAATGGTTGTAACTCAGCGAGTCACTAGGAATGTTCTAAAAACCTCGCTAAACATTCTAGGAATAAACCATGAACACCGTTCGTCGGACTAGGAGCGTTGGGATAGATTTAAGTGAACATTACGAGCTATTGGGGTCCGATCAGGCCCGGGGTGCCTGCATGGCCAGGACCATGCCCTGAGGAAGCCGCTTTCAGAAATTCAACCCGGTCAGTTTTGGAAGTTTGCATAATTCCTCGGTCAAATTTTACATTGCTTCACCAATCATCCGAAGCTGCTTGCCTCGAGTGCACACTCAACCGGAGAGCGGGTAGTAGCCTCGGCAAACAAATTTCAACAGTCTTTGCATGGGTGCTTCCACTCGTTGGTGACTCTGGCAACACGGATAACGGATTTCTTGCAGGTCCGGGGCCGGAAGTCGATGATTGTAACAGGTTTGAAAATGTGATTTTTTTTATCATTTTGATATCTGCTTCCATTCTGAAGACCAATAACACCAGGAAATGAAGCAGAAGTCGCCATGGGAGAAAGGAAAGAACGGTAGAGAGAATTATGAATGCGCAGCGACGTGATAGTACCCGATGCCTGTAGATAGCTATTAGCTAGAGTATTTCTATAGTACCGACGTCCATGTTATCAACCGATGCAATGTCTTTGACTTGTGCAATGATGTTATAGTCCGACGCGATCCTCTTGAATTCTCCGATACGCTGCTGCGCTAGCAAAAATGCGTCGAAAGGCTGTCCGAGGCGAACCATTAGCCGCAAGGCTCGTGAACCGGGCTCCTCTTTGACAGGCGAACCACCGGGTAACTCGTCAGAGTCATCCATCGGGGACCCAGGCTCAGACAAATCTCCTGCACTCCCTGTATCGTCTACGAAGTCAGGCTGCTCTGCAAAGTCAGGTACCCCGAGGAGATGCCGATCCCAGGGACGAATAAGTAAGAACGTCTGCCGAATGGGCTTTGCCCGCCAGAACTGCACTAGGGTCTCTTCAGTGGTGATCAGCAGGTCGTGAAGCCCATCTGCCTTGATTCTATACGTGATGGAAGTCCCCTGGGCCAGAACGCGCTGCCGTCTGACTTCCGTGACACGAAATGAAATACAAGGCAGATGAAGTCTGCAGTGTGCAAAGCGAGGAGCTCTAAGCTGTTC